GCCGCTGCCCCCGCCACCGCTTCTGCCCCCACCGCCGCTTCTGCCCCCACCGCTGCCGCCACTTCTGCCCCTGCTGCTGCTGCTGCTTCTGCCCCCGCAGCTGCTGCTGCTTCTGCCCCCGCCGCCGTTGCCACTGCTGCTTCTGCCTTCCAGTCCTGCCTCATCCAGCCGGGCCATTTGCAGGAGGAGAGGTAGGCGCGAGGTGGGTGAGCTTTCTCCCCCCCCGCCCCCCGCAAAATTTGGCCAGAAAATAAACTGCGATAAAAAAAACGTGATAAAAAAACGTGATAAAAAAATAAATAATTTTTAATAAATAATTAATAATAAAAACATCTCACTAACTTCATTTCCAAATAAATTTAATAAGTTAACTATGTTTTCTACGTTTTTGGGGGATGATCAGGTATCGTTACTGTTATTTTATTTTACGTGCGGCCCAAACCAAATTTTCATCTTCTAATGTGGCCCAGGGAAGGTGAAAGGTTGGACACCCCTGCTTTACATCATCAGTGAAGGGAACGCAGTTGCTCTTAATATGATCACAGAGGTCATTTATGTAGAGTATGAAGAGAGTTGGTCCTAGAACACTGCCCTGGGGGACACCACTGTTGACAGGTACAGAATTTGATAGGACGCTCCCAATTTTGACCATTTGTTGTCTGTTTGACAGGAATGCTTCTATCCAGTTATGCAGATGTCCAGAGATACCATAAGATTTTAGTTTTAGGAGTAGTTTGTCGTGTACCACTGAATCAAAGGCTTTATAGAAGTCTATGTAGATTGCGTCTATTGTTTTGCTCTGATCGAGTTGTGTAGTCCATATGTTTTTGCAGTGTAAGAGTTGCAGATTATAGGATAGTTTACTATTACTATTACTTCTCAACAGGAGTGAAATTCTCTTTCCTTAAGTCTGGATCCAAAGCTCCAAAGTATCTCAGGGAGCAAGTGCTAACTGTGTGCAGTAAGATTTTGTGTTTTGAGGCAAAATAGCTGGGCTAAGTCTAGAGAACTCACCTGGTACCATCTTTGCTTGTTAGGTACAGAAAACGCTTCAGGACCCATACCTGTGTGGCAAGGCCTGGCAAATTCTGTCCAGGTATGGAGCCATACCCAGGTATATTTGATTTCCTCTGCCTCCTGCCATACCCAGGTATATTTGATTTCCCCTGCCTCCTGCCCCCCATCAGCTCAAAATTCCTGGAGACTTAAAATAAACTGTTTGAAGTTAATAGTTCATTCATCCAAAGATATCCTGTTGAGCTGAATGGTAATTGTTTTTTATTCCCTCAAAGCAAAATGAATAAATGAATGACAAGCCTCTTCCCAGATATTTTAAGATAAAGTGAAAGAGACTCCTTACTGGAAACTATAAGAATGTGTGTCCTATTTCAGTACCTTGGTTAAACAAAAACAAAATCCGCTTTGGATTTGTAAACAAAGCTATTATAATTCCAAAGAGCAATACCTGAACTGCTTCCCAGGAATTACATGAATTCAATGTCAGCTTGAAATTTGGAAAAAAGTTAAAGATCACTATATGCAACCATAAATATATTTATTTTCTTTGGACAGTTGCATAAATATTAGTTATATATATGTTTATGCATATGCAAAAACAGAGTCAGACTGGCTGTTACTGAACAACTGCAATGCTACATATTGAAATGGCATGAAGTATAATTGAAATATTTGTATTCTGTTTTTCTCAAGTTCATGTGTTAAGTCTAGATAGCTGATGATAATTAAAATTCACAATATTAGATCACAGATGAAATCAAAATGTAATAGTATGACACATCTGGCAAACAGAACAAAGTCTTGTTAAAATCACTTCAGCCTGACAAATTAAAAGCTTGCTTCTTACTTTAAAATTAAAATTGAGAATGAGGTCTTCAGAATTTCACTTTCCAAAATAGTAGTGTGTCTATAGAGAATGTTCTTTGTCCAATCAATTGATCCTCCACCATGGATAGGAACATAGAAATCCTACTTAGCTTGGTTTTAATAGGTAGGCAAGACTGGTGTGACAAGAGCTTCTACCTGGGATCCTTGATTTTGCTAGGACATTATAGTCATCAACAATTGTAATTATACTCATAAATATTTAGCAACTAAAAGATGTATGGCAGGATAGAAGTAATATGATCCCACAGGTAAACACCCATAACTCCTTTGCATCAATTGAAGCTTCTGAAAACTTCTAGTGATACCTCATGCTAAATGCTTTGTAATAATCAAATCTAGCAATAACTGAGACACAGTGAGTCAGTTTTCCTCAGGAATGGCACAGCATTCCTGACCACAGCTTCTTTGCTTCTTTGCCGCAAGAAACAATTTCCTCAAAACAAGTGGCATCCCTTATCCTCTAATCAGTCTACCTGTCAAAGAAAACTCTTTGCAGAAACAAATGGCATGTGTAGTTTGGCTGTGGGTAGAACATTGTTTCATGTGGGAAGGAAGTCCTGTTTCGGTGTCTGTTCTCCCCGACACGCAACAGACAGGAACAGATAAAAACATCAAAGACAACTCCAGAAAGGCAGAGCTTCCACAGTTACTTCCCATTTCACCTTGCATGCCTCCTCTTTGCCTATTACTTCTCAGCATTTTTTTTAGATTAGTTATTTTTTTTTCTTTTTTAAAAAAAGTCCTTAAACTTTTTATACCATGTTCAGAAAAAGGCTCAGCTAGTGGGTCTAGCACCTCTGTGTTTGGGAGATATTACTTGGACCACTAAGAGACAGCCAAACCTATTATTCAAAAGACCCTCCTATGCTTGCTCAACCTCCCCACCGCATCATGAGAGGGAGGGAGTGTGATTGGTACTTGTTTTTCCCACCAGTGGGGTCCATCAGTGGGAAGGGAAACCAAACTGAGGGATAGAATCAATTGTTACTACCATTTTAGAATGCCTTGATAAGACCACACTTGGGATACTGCATCCAGTTTTGTTTGCTGTGATGTAAAAAAAGATGTTGAGACTCTAGAAAGAATGCAGAGAAGAGCAACAAAGATGATTAGGGGACTGGAAGCTAAAACATATAAAGAATAGTTGTTGAAATTTGATATGTCTAGTTTAATGAAAAGAAGGACAAGGGGTGACATGACAGCAGTGTTCCACTATCTCAGGGGTTGCCACAAAGAAGAGGGAGTCACTCTATTCCCCAAAGCACTTGAGGGCAGGACAAGAAGCCAGGGTAGAAAGTAATCAAGGAGAGAAACAACTTAGAACTAGGGAGAAATTTCCTGACAGTTAGTACAATTAATTAGAGGAACAATTTGCTTCCAGAAGTTTTTAAGAAGAGATTGGACAATCATTTGTCTGAAATGGTATAGGGTTTTCTGAGCAATGGGACAGCAGGTTTCCTGAGCAGGAGCAGGGAGTTGAATTAGAAGGTCCCTTCCAACTCTGTTATTCTCAGGGGTGGGATTCTACCAGTTCACAACTATTCGCTAGAACTGGTTGTTAACATTCTAAGCAGTTCGGAGAACTGGTTGTTAGAAGAAATTACTGGACTAATCCTGTAAGGAAGGCAGGAAGGAAACATTCTGGTGTTGCTTACATTCTTGGCAGGACTAGACTTCCTGTCTCAGGAACCTCTCTGGAGTTTTTTTTCCCCTCCTTTGCTGGTACTTTGCTTATGTGGAGTGACCATTGAAAAAAGTGACCTATGACCATTTTTCACACCTACGACTGTTGCAGCATCCCCACAGTCATGAGAGGCCAGGCGAGGAGATACGTGCCTCAATGTGAGTGATGTTGAGTTGGCCACGCCCAGCAAGTAACATGACCACCAAGCCACGCCCACCACCTAAGCCACACCCACAGAACCGGTTGTTGAAAAAATTGAATCCCACCCTGTTATGTTTTTATTCAAGCCATGGGGTTCCACCATTCACTTTACTCAACTTATTCCACATTGAAACTGCAAGGAATGACCCACATGTCAGGCTCATTATGGAAGGAGAGTAAGACTTGACCATTGGGGAAACAGGACTAGATGAACTAATTGTACTTTATTGTAAGGCTGCATTAACAGAATCTTGCAAGTCTCAAAGTACAAATTTCCAACCCACCACTTCGAACTGCCTGATCCGTTAGGGCAGACCCTTTTTCAGTTTCATTTTGAGACCATTAAGGGATTGCTGGCTCTTGCCCCTCTTATCCGATTGTTTTCTCCTTCTCTTTCTTCAAGGTCACTAATTCCTTTCATTACAATAGCCAGTGAATGATAGAAGGTTGATTATTCTTCGGGGGTCTCTATAAAGCTCTCCCCCCAGTCCCTAATCCGGAAAGTGAGATGGCTAGTGGCAAGGTGGTGGGATGGCCAAGAGGTGGAGCTTTCACCTCACAATCAGGAGGCTGTGAGTTCAATCCTAGGTAGAGGCAGATATTTCTCTCTCTGGGCAGAATGAGAATTTATCTACTGGAAAAAAAAACCCTCTGCATTGGTGATAGGAAGGGCATCCAGCCAGTAAACACTCTGCGCCATTCAGTTGCCCAGACTCCACCCTGCAAGGGATTATGGGGTTTGTTAAAAAAAAAGAAGATGATGATCAAATCCCTCAGAAGGTAGTGTTATCCAGGATTCAATCATCCACCACCTACAAGAACAGCCTCGAATTGTTTCTATTAACTGTGTGTTGTTACTGGTATCATTGATCTGTTATTGTAGTTATTTTTCATAATACTATTATAAAAATATTTATTAAATTAATTTCATATAATAACTATTTGGGGGGTCAGTGAACAAACTGATATGTCATGAAGAGGTTAGGCAGCTGAAGAGTTTGGGGTACCCCCTGACCTAGATGATTTAGATCTGAGAGACAATGCTTTTTTTCCTGGCTCATCTAACATATCAAGTTTGATGCACATGCATCAAAAGATTATCCTAGAAATGGGGTGGAATATCAAGCACCAATCTTGCACAAAATAGTCAAATAAAACCTCAAGGACTGACAGGCCCCAGAGCCAAGAATGAAACATAGAGATTCTTCCAAGTTTAGTTCTTTATTGGTTCCACACCTATAGACAGAATATTGCCATACTAAGCATGCTACTATTTGCATCTGCCATATATTCTGAGGGCTATTAGGGAGGAGCTGTCATTTCCCTCTTTCTCTCACACAAAATATCCGGACTGAGTTGTCTCTTATTCCTCCAAAATGCACTCCTCCCTCTTGGGAATTCTCAATACATTCCATCACAAGGGCACATCTTTGTTTTGGAGAAGGGCATGCTATATTGCCCCAGCATGGGAGATAATTGCATCAGGCAACAAACTGATTATCCTCATTTGTGTCAGCGTTCCAATGAAACTCCCCATTTCATTTAGCACTCAGAAACCAAGTTCATCCAAATAAGAATTTATTAATGAAGTCATATTGGCGCATCTGGGAAAACCCGAAGCTGAGAGTTCTGGGTTTTCCCTCCCCAAAAGAAATTCAAAGATCCATCCCCTGCACCCACCAGTCCATTACATGGTCCAATCAACCACCATTCTAACTGGAGTACTCCAGGTGCAGGGTAACTTGTCCTTGACTTTATGAGAAGAATGTTGTTGAGTCTAATCTTCCTCCTCTATGAAATCCCCCCCCTCCCAAATTCCCAGGCACTAAAATGTGGCAACCTAGAAGCTTCTAAATAAAATATGGCTGACAATTTGTTTGTTACATGGATTAAGCCATGCATAACTTCTTTCATTATTTATCATCACTTTGGTGCGGATTCTTAGTGACCTCATACATTTTCTCCAGTATCATGGATTCTTAGAATATGCACAACACAGAAACCTCCATTGCCTTTGATTATTGATCATCACACTTAAAATGCCTTCTGCAGTGCCGGTTGGGCAAATGTTTCCTTTTTTGTCTTCCAAAAGGCTATTTTCTTCTCATAGTAGGCTGCTTCATTGATGAAGACTGGGAAGAAAGTATCGTCACCATCATGCAGAATATCCTCTCCATCGAAAGTCTGGAAAACTGGATCTCCCGGCTTCAGGAGCTGGAAATCTTTATCCTAAGGGAGATGATTTGATGTTTATACCAAGAACAAAATAGCCAGAAGATTTTTCAAAGAGCAAGCATTCCCCCACCCCCACCCCTCCCCCTGTGTAGTATCCTCTGATGAGCTGGAAACAATCCTTGCAGGAGATGAAACTGTTGTAATGAGCACTGTCACTATTGGATGATTAATTGCAGACTTCAGTGGAGTCTGATATGTTATTATCCTCCGCTCTCTATACTACTCAAGCAGACAACTCGGTGATCAGAGGACCTAAGAACCTAAGAAAGGACATTCTGACAAGTGAAATTTTCCTCTGTCTTGCAGTGCTATGGCAAACTTACCAAACCTCATAGTTTCACATGCTATTTTAACTCCAGTTTCCTAGCACAATATTTCCCCTCCCTCACAAGGCAGTTACTGGAGCTGAACAGCAATCCTCCTCATTTCTCCTCCTGGCCCTGAAACCCTGAGATCCTGAAGAAGCAAAGGAGGGGGCCCTAATCCCCAGTAAGAGTGTTTCTCCAGCCTTGCCTTGCCCCTCCTCGGTATTCTAAAGTTACAAACATCCCCTCAGCCCTATTCCACATAAAAAGAAAACACAGGCATTTGCTGGTGGATCCCTGTTGCTATGGCTCTTAATTTTATACGTTGCCGTGGATGTTTTGATTTTGATTCTGTGCTCTGTAGTGGATTTTATTGAAAGGGAGGAGGAAAAGCACATTCATTTTAATTGCATTAAAAATCTTCTGAAGATGTAGGGAATAGCAGTATGTATCAAGAAAAAATAAAGAATCTAGGAGGAGGGATGGACCCTTCCCCCCCAAAATCCCTTCCCAAATGGACCAGTCACGATATGAAGTGTTGCAAAGTGAAAAAACGTCAAATTGCTCTAATTTCAAATAAAATGCAGAGGTGCCCAGAAAAAAAAATAGACAGCTGTCAAAGCTGCCTGATAGGTTGTGTGATTGCACAGATCCAAAGGGGGATCAAACTGGTGCAAAATGCTCATGTACAGATGTCCAAAGTTTTAAGCACTCAATGTTCTATTATGTTGCAAAGAACAGCCAGAAAGCTTCAAACAATGTGTGCATGCACACATGCACTCATATGCACTCCCTCTCTCTCTCATACACACACACACACACACACACACACACACACACACACACATAGGCCCTCTCTTCTTTCCTCCTTCTCCTCATACTCACCTGTAGATTTGGATGTATTACAGCAGAAATCTCCCCATTGGGATAACGGGGGAAGTCCTTCCGTTCCACCGGTATGTATGCCTCAATTTCAAAGGCTGGGAACAAGGTGCCTAACAAAAAGAAGCAGAACCGACAACCAGATTGCACAATGTTTATGCTCAGCCATCACAGTCAGGACTCTGTGAGGCAGGAAGATGAATAAATTCCTTCCCCACCACCCTGGGAAATTGATGATTCCTAATCAGATGTTTGTCAGCTTCTGCTTCTGAAGGTACCATATGTCTAGGCTTTAATATTAAAATTTATGCCGAGATTTTAATGTTAAAATTCAGTTACGAGACTCAGACTTTGGAAACCAAAAATAAGTTTTATTTGCGCAAAAATAAGTTTTATTTGCGCAAAAAAAAGTTTTATTTGCGCAAACAGGTTCGGAGTATTTTAGTGAGAGTCATTTCTGAACAAATTTCTTATAGAACAGCAAATGCCTATATACTTCTTCAGAAGGGGCAAAACACAGAAATATAACTTGTCAGTCATTCATTGGTTACTTGAAACACAGCTTTCCCCCTCCCCTGTTGCTAGGCTAGGATGGCTGGATGTCACAAGCCCATCTTGCTAAACTCCCTAGCTTGTGGTTTTGTTACAAGCGAAACAAGGTATCTTGGCAAATATGAGTTTGTGACCGATAGATGATCCTTGTGGTTTAGCATTTCACGGTTCCTTGTTGTTTCTCTTGCTAATACCACATATTTCACTATAAAACTTGTATCATTATTTCTCTAAAATTAATGTATTTTTATGTCCTGCTTTAAGGCAAGAGCCTGATCAGCATAAATCTCATGACAGATCACTAGAGTGTGACACAGGAGGGAAACAAGATTATATTTCCAGACATATTACTGAAAAACACATGATGGTTGGTTGATAGCTCACCGTTAGTTTTTCTTTCACTTTTATTTTGACAAAGGGAGAGCTTGTTGCCATAGCTTTCATTATTTTATCAGTAAAACTATGACATTCTGGTAATCTCCAAAATTGGTCTTATTAAGGGTAACATTTCTCACTCACGTTTATGGGAGCTTCTCAGTTCAAGAATCAAAATAGGTCACCTTTGTTAAAAAGCTCAATGAAGTCCAAAGCGCAGGCCACGATCGTTCTCATCTTAGCAAGCAGGTCAGCTCGTGCCACTCCCTGGGGTTGTGGGCCCAACTCTAATGCTGTAAGGGATTATAGGAAGAAAGGGGGAGGATGTACATCATTATGGAATTAGGTTGGAATGCCTTTGCTTACCTTAAATATACCTTTCCTTCTTCTACATGGATCACACATGGCAATGCAAGAACTGCAATATTTCCCACTTTTTACTTGGAGAATACCTATGAGATATTGGAAGACATTACAACCTACTAATGTAGGGTCCAAAGGTGATTTTTCCAAAAGGTAGATGGACTGTTTCAAGAAACCGTGACCTGGATATTTGAGAATCTCCATAGACATTTACTAATGTAGGAATGGCCATTACAGGGGTGGGATTCAAATTTCTTAAGCAGTTCTGTTGGCATGGTTTAATTTGTGGACATGTCTTTATGGTCATGTGACTGAGTGGGTGTGGCTTGGTGGTCACATGACTGGGTGGGTATGGCTTGTATGTAAATATTGTAAATATTGATTTTTTTTATTAAAAAGAGCAACTTTTACCCCAAATCAGGCAAAGTAGGCAGGCAGATTGAATTGCTCACAGAATCACAGATTCACTCAGAGATCTATCTTTCTGCAATCTGCTACCTGAGTCTGCAGTGAAAAATAGAAGCTTCAGTCCTAAGGAAGGTTCAGCTCTGCTTTTAGATTAGCTAAAAAGCAAGATATCCAACGATTTTCCTGCTTTCTAGCTAATCTAAATCTCCTGACACAACTGACAGTTGGAACAGCTGATGGTCAGGGGAAGGGAAAGAAAAATAGCAACTTACCAAAAAATTGGCAAAGGCACAAGGCAGGCAAGTTGGATAGTGCATATGTCAGGTAAGGAATGAGTGGACAGGATGGAGAGGGGCGGGGACAGCCAGTGGTGTGATTTGCCGATTTTCCAAACTGCGCAGAATCATAACCACCAGTTCTATAGAATCGGTCCGACCAGGTAGAATCTCACCCCTGGGCCATTATCTCTAAGTCTATTTCATAATATAAATTATACTGTATCTGTAAACAATGGGGGAAACCAGCCTATCTTATAAACAGCTGATTTAATATGCATCCAAGAGAAACCCAAATAAGTTATGCTAGAAGAAAACAAGATTTGAACAAAATAAAAATTTGGAAAACAGGTGGGAGAGATGTGAATTACGTCTACATTAGTTTTTAGTTGTATAAAACTAAATAATGTGAGAAAACATCATTCCAATCTTACCTTGCTGAATTTTAGCTCTCTCAATCTCTTCCAACAAAAAACAACTAACTGGATATTTTAATAGAATATTTTTAAATCTCCCATCATAGAAAAGCAACTCCTTGATACTGTCACTATATTATACAGGATGTCAACATAGAAATTGAATTAAGAAACCAATATCAAAAAAGACCAATGTAAGTAAGTGTTGGTTTGATGTAGACCAGGGTTGGCTTGAAACATCTGCTGTGTCAAAAGATTAGACACCATGTAAAGACTTAATAGGATCTTTTGTGAACTTTTGTAAGGTTGCAGCTGAAATTTATGAGCCATATGCATCTTTTCCAGACATTCCATATACTTCTTTCCAGGACACTTCTAGGAAAGGTTACCAGGCTGAGAACTATTCCTTACCTAGCCCATGTTTAGCCACTGACATCATGAAATTAGCCTCCTCTCCAGATGCTTGACAGACTAAGATGGGACAGTGTCTCACTGTACAGTGTTTCTGCAAAGGCAGGAAAAAAGAAGATTTTTTAAAAGGAAAGCTCAGCTTTCCATTCTTGAAAACAGGAGAAAAAGTTAGATTCTTAGGAAATTTCAGAAATATGACCTTACCTGAATGTAGTTACACATGTGTATGGACAACAGGCTAAATTCACTCTTCAGTAAGAGGCAGCAACCCATGTTGGCTGTGGTGTTGTGTAGGTCTAACATAAAATCATAGGCTTGAGATGAGCCTTTGGGTCCAAAGATCTGGTTGATCTCCTGAGCACGCTGAATCTCCTGAAAGTCTGAATCTGAAGCCTTGGTACTGAGAAAGAGATGTTCAAAACAATGGTAGTCTGATAGGTCGGATAGGAGGCAGATGCTTCTTCTAATCTGGTACTATGCTGATACATTGGGCTCCAACTTCTACTATTCTAGCCAGAATGGATAAAACCACTTTGGCTGGAATTGGTTGTAAATGGAGATATGCTAGCAGTTTTGGAGGGCCTCAGACTGAGGAAGGCAACAAACCTTAAGTGAGGGCTTAGACCTCTAAGCATCTTCATATTTGATACAAACAAATGTTTGGTATGTTGTCTTTTCCAATAGCTCCTGAGAAGGGTGGTCTTTGTGTTTCCTACAAAACTTCTAGAGATTTCAGGAAAGCATAATACTTACTTTAGAAAAGCTGCAGCAAACGTACGATTAAGATCTCTCCCAGTGTAGCGCACACACTGCTCGACTGCACGGGGGTTGCCCACAAAAGGTGTGACCTGAAAGGTACTGCGTTGCAACTCAGATGGATCCTGTAGCCAGTGCTTGACTAGATAAACACCTGACATTTCATTCCCATGAGTGCCCCCGCATATTGCTACGCGCCTCAAGGGAGGAAGGTATTGTGGCTGTGACATGATGGTGTTTCAGACTCTGTTGTGAGAAAGAAGACCACATGGGGTTATCAACAACCCCTTTAGCAATACTGGAGAATTCTCATCTGCAACCCACTGAGCCAAGCCCCTCATCTTACCTTTGAATCTTCCCCAGTACCCACTTCTTCAATGTTTTAATACAAGAGTTGAGACTCCATGGATCACTACATCTTCAGCATTCAGTACAGGTAGTCCTCAACTTACAACCACAATTAAGCATAAAATTTATGTTGTTAAGTGAAAGTTGCTAAGTGAGTTTTGTCCTATTTTATGACCTTTCTTGCCACAGTTGTTAAGTGAATCACTGCAGTTGTGTGAGTTAACAACATAGTTGTTAAGTGAATCTGACTTCCCCGTTGACTTTGCTTGTCACAAAGTTGCGAAAGGTAATCCCATGACCCTGGGACACCCACAACTGTCACAAATTTAGTCGGTTGCCAAGCATCCAAATTTTGATCATGTGACCATGAGGATGCCTCAAGTGCCATAAGTATAAAAAATGTTTATAAGTCACTTTTTTCAGTGCCATTGTAACTTCAGTCAATCCATGAACTACTATAAGTTGAGGAATATATATATATATGATTTTGATATATTCCTCAACTTATAGTAGTTCATGGATTGACTGAAGTTATATATTCTGAGGTTCTCGCGGGTATTTGTATGTGGATCTTTGGTGATCTCTGAGAAGCACAGAGCCGAAGACACAAGCCTGAAGATGATGAATGAGACTTCATCGAAATGTTGCCTAGATACTTCCAATTTTACGCAGGAGAAAACCCGAATAACCAAAGATCCACATATATATGTATATGTATATGTATATTTGTTTTCTTAAGTTTTCACGGGTACTTACATGTATGGTATTCAGCTTTGTTCGGGTATTTTCCCACGTCATTGTAGTTGTGCTTTTAAAGTTGTAGCAACATTTTGGCGGAATCTCATCCGCCATCATCAGGCTTCTGTATTGTGTTCGTTTGTGAGTCAGACTCTCACAGCCGTTTCAGTTTTAAATTTGGGGCTAGCCTACTGCTGTGCCAGAATGGTTTGTTCTTCATCCTGATTGGTTGGAAGTCTTGGTCTGTGTTTATTGGTCTTGGGGTTTGCTGTGTTCTGCTTGATTGGTGTTTCTAATATCTTCTGTCTGTTTTGTGGCTCTTTTTGTGTCTTGATTGGCTGGCAACATTGTGTTTCCTGTATTGGAGGCTTTTAGTGCAGCTTGGCTCTGAGTAAATGGACAGCTATCATTTGTTAGGAAGCTAGGTTTCATCTGGGTGCCTGGTTGGGGTGTGTTTGAGCTGGAGGTATCAGGGGGGATCTGATTGTGCCCAGGTGTTTGCCTGGCTAGTGGTGTGGAGATTTTTTTGTTTGTGAGTGCAGGCTTCCAAATAATGACAGTCTGGTGGAATCATCTCTTCTATTCATGCTTTCAGGTCTTTTTTCAATCTCTATGACTTCTCTGATAATTCTGTGGCTGGGGTTTTCTATAATGGCTAGGGTTTTGGTGCCATTGAAGTTGATGCTATGACCTGTGGCTTTCATGTGTTGGACTAGTGAGGAAGTGTGTTCCAGCTTTTTTACTGCATTTTTGTGTTCATCCAGGCGGGTACTTATTCTTCTATTGGTCTGTCCAATGTATGTGGCCGGGCATGATGCACAGGGGACTTCGTATATGCCTTGGTTTTCCAAGTCAATTTTATCTTTGGGGTTTCTAAGGATGGCTGCTATTTTTCTGTCTGTTTTGAAGGCAGTCTTGATGTGATGCCTGTGTAGTATCTTATTGATTTTGTCAGTAGTACCTCTTATGTAGGGCAGGACAGCTGTTCCATAGGTCTGTTCATCTTCTAGGTCTCCATTGTGTCTCAGTGTGTTTTTGTGGATCAAGCCGGTGATTTTGCTTTTGTGGAAGCCATTGGCTGTCAGTACTTTAGTCAGAGTGCATAGTTCAGTCTTTCTGTGTGTCTTGTCTACCAGGCGTTTGGTTCTAGCAATTAGTGTTTTGGCCACAGAGTTTATCTGTGCTGGGTGGTGGTGGGATTGGGCGTTGAGGTAGCAGTTGGTGTGTGTTTTCTTCTGGTATATGGTGTGTCCTAGTGTGCCATCTGTTTTTTTGTAGATTAGTACATCTAGGAATGGTAGTTGTTTGTTTGTTTCCATTTCCATGGTGAACTTGATTTTGGGGTGTGTGCTGTTTAGGTGTTAGGAAATTGTTTAGGTTTTCTTTTCCATGGGGCCAAATCACAAATGTGTCATCGATGTATCTTAACCATAGTTTGGGTTTGTGGGTGGCATTAGCCAGGGCTCTGGATTCGAATTCTTCCATGAACAGGTTTGCAATGACGGGTGACAGTGGTGATCCCATAGGGGCTCCTTCAATTTGCTTGTATCTTTGTCCTTTGTATATGAAATATGTGTTGGTTAAACAGTGTTCTGTTAGTTCCATGAGGTGTTTAGCTGGTTGGTATTTATTTTTGATGATTTCAAGAGTTTCTTTTATCGGGACTTGAGTGAATAGTGAAACCACGTTGAAACTTACAAGCAGATCTTCTTGTTCCACGTGTAGATCTTTGATCATTTCCAAGAACACTATACAGAAGAAGCCTGATGATGGCAGATGAGATTCTGCCGAAATGTTGCTACAACTTTAAAAGCACAACTACTATGACGTGGGAAAATACCCGAACAAAGCTGAATGCTATACATGTAAGTACCCGCGAAAACTTAAGAAAATATATATATATATAATTTCCTTAAGTTTGCGTGGGTACTTACATGTATGGCATTCAGCTTTGTTCGGGTATTTTCCCATGTCATTATAGTTGTGCTTTTAAAGTTGTAACTTTAAAAGACAACTATACTGACGTGGGAAAATACCCGAACAAAGCTGAATGCCATACATGTAAGTACCCGCGAAAACTTTTATATATATATATAAATATGCTGCCAGTCTCACCAATAAGGCAACTCTTAAAAGATATGTCTCATATGTAATGATATTGTTGTGTAAACAAATAATTTGCACAATGATATTATGAGGCACATGTCTCACACACATATACGTGGACATTCCTGCTCCAAATACAGTTTGTCTATCACTGTCACCCACTGACTATGATGGGAGTGGCACATGAATTCCATATGAGGATTCACATGTGTAAAAGCACCTTTCAACCTCTGTGTGCCCACAGATTGCAGGATATTGCAACCAGTTGTAAATACAAGCTGGTTTCCACAAGCATCTAAAATTCAATTATGTGACCACAGGAGTGGTGCAGCAGTAGTAACTGTGAGAATAGGTTGTAAATAACTTTTAATGAGTCTGTCATAACTTCGAATGCTCCTTAAGCAACAGTGGTAAGTTAAGGACTACTTGTATAAAGTCCACAGATGTGAAGAATATCACTGATCAAACAGGGAGTCTAGGAAGTAAAACATCAACGGTTTGTAGGTGCCAGTAGCCCAATCACCTCTACAAAAATGACATCTATCTGTGAAGTGGATGGTATAATTTCAATTCTTCTGCAAAATCTATGGTGAGCTAATTGTCCTCTATTATTGTTTTCCAGACTGTACTGTAGAGCACATCCCTCCATCTTTGACTTATCTGCTGCATGGGTTATAAGCAGAGATGCTATTTAAAGAGAATATGGGAGAATGCCCTTTCAAGATCACCTGATTCCATATTCTGATTAGATTAAAAACAATTCCAATCATCCTGGGTTATATACTGAAATTATCAGTTACCCATTTTCTTGAAAGAAAGTAGGAGAGAGGCAGAAGATGGTCCTTTTGGTATGACAATTTTGTGAGGAAATAGCTGTGCACTGCTTAATGTGAGATATATTAGGGCAAAGTACAATCCTAAAGGCAGGATATCCCTTGTAATTTAATCCTCAAGAATTTGGCTTTTTGAATATGTACTGAGTTGACACTAACAAAAGAACCTTTTACAATCCTTAATGAGTGGAGGGTAATACTAATAACCAACCAGAAAAAGAATTCAACTACAACCATTTTCCAGAATGTCAGAGAAGACAAAAGGGACCCAGGGATAGTATTTAGGACTGTGCAATGTCTGGTAATGAGAATGGGTGGTTGTCTTTTGGAATCTGATAAAGAGTTAGCAAATAGAATAACCAGCATTTACCCTATCCTATAAAAGTAGCTATGCTATTACATTCCCTCTAAAGATTCTTCCTGATCATTTTTCTGCTCAAAACTGTATTGGTACTTATGAATGTTACAATGTGAGAACTTACCCAACTTGAAATTCTTGTCTACTTGCTTAGTCCTGGCAAAAAGAATAGAGAGGAGACCTCTTGGTCTCTTATCATGTCTAGGAATTCTATTAAAGCAGCTTTGTTGGTATGTATGTATGTATGTATGTATGTATGTATGTATGTATGTATGTATGTATGTGTCTCCAAGTCAGTCTTAACTTCTGGGGAATTGCTGAGCTACCCTTTGCAGTTTTCTTTGTGTTATATGTGTATCTATGCAGAGGGAGGGGGAAGGAGAAATTTTTATTGAGCACTGCAATTACAAATTCAAGAACTAATACAAACAAAAGAAAAAAATGCAAAGCAAAATAGTGCAGAAAAGAAAAGAAAAAAGAAAAGAAGTGGAAAATACTTCCTCCTTTATAACAGGTATAAATAATGTTAGTAACATCACTTTCTATTAAAATTCGACAAATGATCTCTCTTTCTCATATCTCAAATCTATAAACAAATCTTTAAAGCCTTGTTCTTCTGTCCTTGTCAACAAAAGTCAATTAAGAATTACCAGATATAACAACATATATATTTTAACCTTGATCAAGTAAACCTTTTACTTTGAACAATCCTGTTCTTTTTATATTCCTCCTCTTATCTTTAGTATAAAATATGTTGAACCTTAACCCCCTCAAAATCCTGGAACACGATTTCTTCTCATTTTTTTCCTTCATCCTTTCTTACAAAATTCTTCACAACTTTAACAGATCTCTTCTGAAGATCC